TATCAGTAACCAAATTTTCTCACTAATAACCTTTCCTCTACCCATTTTGAAAATCTTAACTACCCAAAACTATTTTAAACATATTCTGTCAGCTGTGATTAATAAAAACAATTGTTATTGCTTTCATTTTTCACAGCCACCTTTGCGTTAGAGACTTATTTTGCATTGAAATGAAAATAGGTTGATATGCTGTAATTGCAACCTCTGTTATTTTTATGCTGCAAATTTGATTAGGGAGTGATAAAGTTGGTGTTTTCTACTATATATTATCAAAATATTAATTGTTAATATTTTAAACCTATAACACCCTGCTACATTTTTATTATTTGTGTTTGATAAGAAAAAAACTAAGATTTCAATAGTTGGGCCAACTGTATTGGGAAGGGGCTCGTAGGTACTTCGATATTATATACTCAGTGACATTAGAAGTGAAGCATGCTGTGGCAACAATGTCAACGTTTTACCTTTGTTTTTGTTTACCTTCTTTAAAATGTTATCTCTTAGTTTTTGTGAAAAGAGCAGTTTCTGAGAGCTAAGTTGTACGGATATTATTATTGCCCTTTCATTTACAAGTGTTAAGCATAACAAAATGCCTCGAGTTCGAAGTCGTCCAAATTATCACCATGTTAGCGACTTCGACAGGGGTAGAATTATTACCTATCGAGATGTTGGTTTGTCCTACCGTGAAAGTGGCCGCCGTTTAATTGTACTGCAATGACGGTAACGCGTGTGAGTCGTGTGTGGATAGTAGAAGGTAGAGGAACATAGAGAAGGTCAACCGGTCCACCGAGCCCCACCACAGAACGTCAAGATAGGCGCTTCAGACAATCACCCATACGAGACAGTTTTGCTGCTACGCGTCAAATTACTGACCAATGGTTTGGAAAAGAAAATAAAAATGCTACTATGCGTACACTCTATCGCCGCATTCGAACCTTTCGGCCTTTTTCATACCGTCCACGGCTAGCGGTTCCTCATTGGGAGGCAGAATGGCAGAATGGCATCATCAGCGACGAACTGAGAGGCATATTCACAGGACTGTTGGAGTAGTAGCTTGGGAGGGCTATTGCCTATGGTAGCCGATCACCCCTTCTCTTTGTTTAAGGTAATATGACTGCTGCCTGTTATGTTGATGATTTCCTACAAACCACTTCACAGCCACACATTCTTTTTCATCAAGAGAACGCACCTCCCCATATTGCTCGTCGTACTAAGGACTTTCTTCAAGAAACAGGCGTTAATATATTGCCGTGGTCACACCCCCCTCACCGGATTTAAATCCCATCGAGCATGTGTGGGAAATGATGGGGACGAGACCAGACTTTGCACCATCTGCCATAGACTCTGCAACTAGCTAATCCACGAAGTTCGAGTTGCTTGAAATGAGGTGCCATAACCAGGCACAGATCACCACATTTTGTCGATACCTAGACGTATGCATGAGTGTATTCAGCTGCAGGGTCGCCCAATGCATTATTAATTTTTTTTTATTGCCTGGGAATAAAATTTCGTGAGAATGTTATCGTTTTATTCTTGATGAAAGACTACTTCATTGGCAAAAAATCAAGTTGAAGAAATTATTTTTCTAGGTGTAACAGTTCTAATCTCATTGAGTATATATTTCGACTGTTGGTAATATTGGTATTGCTCCATTGATTTACATAGTTTGAAGATAAAAATGAAAAAGTCATGTAAGGTAACTGTTTGTAAATATTTCTTTTTGAGAGTAAACTGTTGGTTGACCTATTGAGCTGTTGTAGCACCACTAACCCATTACGGTACAGTGAACTAACTATACCGCCATCAAGTATTTTGATGACCTACCTTTAGATGTTTTTAGCGCCAACTTGATATCAAAAGCGATCCACAGAAAACGGATTTTCGAGGATATTTGAGTCAAAAGAAGTTTAGGACGTCGGAAACAACTTCTGACGATAGCATAATCTGAACTAGATAAATATGTTTTTGCTGGTAGAGATTGATGAATCGTTGCTTCGGCGACTATATCTGAGCTGTTAGCCAATATTTCCATTTCTTATATTTTCTAAGATACTTATGCGGCACGGTTAGAAGAATTGATAAAAGCTGTTACAATTTCACAAATGTCAGTCTATAGCTCTAAGCTGATTACAGTTTTCCTAGCCCCCACATTATCCAACCGTCCTCCATGAGTATACAAAATGAAAACGCATAATGCGTTCTTTTCAGAGACACTGCAGTGTCACTACTCGAGTTTCGTTGTAGGACAATTTGGCGATTAGACTGTTATCGATCATCAAATATAAATATCAAACAAGCAATGAAATTAAGCCGTTAATCTGCAACAAGCATCAACGCTAAATCTTAGAACGCCAGTATCTGACAATGCAAATATATAGCAACAGTTGTAGCAAGGCCTTAAGGTGAATACCAGCGACATTGTTATCTGACAGGCGAAACACATGTACACACATCGTATGCGCACAGGAGGCCTGACTACAAAAATTGATATGCAAGCAGTAGCTGAAGGTATTCATGTAGCTGTTGACGGCAACGATGGCCACTGATATTGTAACATGCATCCAATTCTTTTTATTCCACAGGTAAGTGTTGATATCAGTGCTCTTTGCGGTATTTACAAGTTCGGCAGTTATGAAATCATCAGCTGCGTTCGCTAGCTCTCAGCAGCTTAACCTTACCACTATTTGAAGCATGCTTTAACAGGTTATGTTCATTATCAGTGATTGTTAGTTCAATCCGATTGCATCCAGTTGCTGTGCTGAAACAGTCTCTAGATAGTGCTAAGATATGTATGTACAGAAGGTTTTGAAAATATCCATATGATAAAATATTTCCTGCCTAAGCTGGTTTTGACGGAATATTTAATAATAGAAATTATTCACAGTCTCATATTTCCAGTATATAGCTTAAAATTAATTACAGCTTTCTCACCCAGCTGTTCATGTTACCCAACTGTTCTCGTTGAGCATACAAAATGAGAAAGCACAATGTATTTTTCCAAGAACACGGCAAGTAACAACATGCGTGTCAGTACACGTGTTTTGCTGCAGGTGAGAAGAGACGGTTGAAGCTGGAAACAAACAGGCAGCTGCTTGAATTATGAGCAGCTGCACTTCATTAACTTTCTCTTGCTTCCCTTTATATTAATTTTAATGGGAGAAACCCGATACTGTCGCCTTGTCGGTTTGTTGTTCGTTGTTATTTACGCGTCGATACAGTGTTCGATAACAATTTGGTTTCTTGGTAGTCGAAGACGAGGTTCCGTTTTTCCGGTGGCAGGCATTATGGAATTTGTACCCTATCTCAGCCAAAAGTATGTGTCGTTACATTGCCCCCCGGCGCTGGATACAATATGACAAAACATGGTTCGATCTACTAGGTGTCTGACTCAAAAATTGATGTATTTTATCCTAAGTCGATATGGATGAGCTGAAGGAAAGAAGATTAAATAACGACTCTCTCTCTCTCTCTTAGAAAATCCCTGGAGATGCAAAAATTTGATGTAGTCTTAGGCTGGTCGTCCTTTGGATGCGTTTTCGTCCGAAATGCTTTCGTCAGAAATCGGACGAAGAAACGCGAATCATCCCGTTTCATTGAAATCTATTGAAGCTCGTACACTGCGTCCGAACTGCTTCGTACAAATTCGGACGAAAAGATGCCATGTGCGATCTATCCGAAACAAATGGGATTGTTCGCAGTTGTTATGACGAATTGATAGTCGATTTGTAACAGACCGAGATGGATGTTGTAAAATTAATTACTTTAATTTAAAAAAAAGCCTCTGTGGGATATGACCGACAAATCATATCACATGAGAGACATACAAAGAAAATTGTGGCAAGAAGCGGCAGTTGAAATGAATACTAAGGGCAAGTTAAATCAAATTTGGGTCTCGGGTATGATATATTTGCAAACAAACAAAATATTTGTCTTTGTTGTTTATAATGTAGCAAAGGCATATAAGGCTCAGTGAAATCCGAAATGTATTTGAATATTTTATTGATTTTAGATTATGCATTATACAATTCTTGAGATGAAAAATAAGTTTCAAATTTATCTCTGATATCATAAGCTGAACTGGTGCCTCTGTTTTCACCCAAGGTTCCAAATCTTCCCGTTCTTGAATGTGTTTGATCTGGGATTTGCTCGAATGTACATGCTACTTGCTGCTCTCTTTCTCTATCAATTATAATTTAATAAGTTTTTCGGCAGATTCGGGATTTACTTCAACTGATTTTTGTAATAATGTCCATTTGCTACTCATAATTCCGAATGCACGTTCAACAACTTGTCTTGCTCGAGACAAACGCTCATTAAAAATTATTTCAGAAGGTCCTAATTTTGATACTGGAAAAGGTCTCATTAAATAAGTTTTGAGTGGATAAGCTTCATCTCCCAAAAGAACATGAGGTACTTTAATATTTGTTCCCGGCAGTGGAGAATGTCTTGTAACACCTAATCCACCGTTTTCAAGCTGTCGGCAAAGATTTGAATGCGAAAAAATACCATCGTCACTTTCTTTACCGTACGCTCCCACATCAATTGCTATAAATTTGTAGTTTGGTCCAGCGACAGTTTGTAAAACAATTGAGAAGTATTGTTTGTAGTTCCGATACATGCTTCCGGAGTGCTTTGGATTCTGTATGCGTATGCGTTTCCCATCTATGCATCCAACACAGTTTGGAAATTTCCACTTATTCCAAAATTCCTCAGACATAGACTCCATGTCTTCATTTTTCGGAAATGGCATATGTACAGTAAGTACCCAACTTGTCCAAAATAGCATCACACGTTTCATAAACAAATCTACTCACCCTGACGTCTGATATTCGTGATTAATTGTAACGTTTTTTTTTTGTTCAAGTTGAAAAATAAATGGAGGGGGCTGCGAGACAGATTCCGAAAGGAATTCAACAAGTCGAAAAAACAGAAATCTGGAGATGGTGCAGAATCGGTAGTTACCTCCAAATGGCCATATTATAAAATACTGTTGTTTTCATCTAAAACTGTTGAACGACGTAAACTGCATGGAAATATGTCTCCGCAAAAGGAAAACAATAACAGATCTGACAATGCATACTCTCAATCAACCATTCAGGAGTCATCACAGCAAATTGTAAATACACATATACACCAGCCATCCACATCTGGCAATAAGGTTAGAAGTACATTCAGTACACCTAGTAGTACAACTTTGCAAAGTAAGAAAAACACAAACAATCGTCTAAAATATGCAAAGAATTCCGGGACAAATTCAATGGACGACAAGTTCCTCGAAATAGAAAGAGCCAAATTTGAAATATTGTCCCAACATAAAAATAGAGAAGACAGTGACAGTAAACGCCAATTCCTACTGAGTCTCCTGCCCTTTTTAAAGGCTGTACCTCAAAATCGACAAATGTTGGTGAGAAGTAAGTTACAGCAAGTATTTCTTGGAGAAGAACAATTATCTACAAGACACGCGCCCGGAGCAGCATATCGTTCCAATGAAACAATTACATCGTTGCCTTCTCCAATATCTTACACGGACACCGATTCCTCCAGAGCGTCAATATATTGTAATGACTTAATATCAACACCACATCATTCTTCATCTTTGAAAAATACAGAATCTTCCGGGGTCTCACAATATTCAAGTGAAAGAAGAGAAGATGTTTCCTATCAACAGCCGTTGTCCATTCAGAACTATATTTCTCACTTCAGCGCATGAAACAATATATTTCTTTTCTTTGTATTTTTAAATAATAAAATTGAAAATGTTGCAACTACTGTATTAATAACTTACCTTAGAGTCACACTCAATCGTTCTTCTTGTTAAATGGCCTCACGGAAATTCGACATTTTTTTTATTGGTTCCCTTATGGCATCTAAAATATAATTAAATGTATCCTGATTCATGCGATAGTAATCAAAAAACTTTTTCTCGTCCTTGTTCAAATCATCATATAAATGATGAAATTCTCCGAATTCTTTTCGTTTTGCTAATATGTCATTAACCCAACACGTTTTTCTTTTTAATTTTAATCGCCGTCTAACAAGATAACTATTTTCCAAAAGAAAATAATCCATATTATTAATAATTATTATAGTATGCTTATTTCGTAAATCACTACATACGACTGACTTCGTACAATGCGAAAACTGGTCTAGTGGACGATACCACATATGCGAAATCTGACGAAATTATACCTGACGAAAATAATTCGGACGAAAACGCATCCACAGGACGACCGGCGTTATGATTCTCGTATGTACGTGCAAAATACCCCGCAGTAACCTTATGAAGAACGGCATTCGTTTTTTTTTTCAGAATATAGTATTTTGTAGATCTCAACACGTGGAACAAAATTGTCTAGTAGATTTTAAGGTACAAGGCTCCCAAGCTGCGAAGTACTTACCATACTACAGCGCATTGTGGGTTCGGTACACGATGCTTAATAAATGTTTAACATTTACTACATTCATATCACCATGCTTTATCCGTGGATCAGCTCACCAACATTGCTTCCATCATAAGTATACAGGGTGATCCAATGTTGCATGGATGAAGTATTGCTCAGAGACACAAAGCTTTTCTAAAACTCTTCAAGGTTTTCCTTGAATATTCAGGATTAACAGGGTGTTCGATTAATGACCTGGATAACAAAGTTACTTTTCTGATAAAAATTTATAGTATTTTTTGAGACTTTAATTGTGTATTGAGACCAAAAAAGTGGAAGTTTGGTATCTAGTACCTACCCAGAGCTTTCAATTTTCTATATCTTATAGTCGTCAGTTGATACTTCAACTATTCATTCAATTGTTTCAGTGAATTGGTTCTACAGAGAACTCAGAAAACATTGCTTTAAGACATCCAAATATCACATCATGTGTATTTTCATATTTTCAAATCTGTTCTGTGTCCAAATTTTTCTCAGACGAAATATGCAATATTTCAAGATCAGGCTCAACAAAACGTAGACGTACTTAGGTCTATCGAACTATGTAAGAAAAAAATATTGATAAGGAACACCTGTCGATATGCTGCCGAGAAGTGGCACATTTTTTAATCTTGAACAGTTTTGAAATGTATTCTCATGAAGACGGTGCACGATATTCATGAGCAATTTAAAAAAAAATTCGTCGCTTCGAATATTGCTATGCTTCATCCATGCAAGTTTGATCCACCCTGACCTAGTGATAGAACTACAATGTTTGTGACCCGTAAACAAATATCAAACATCTATTAAATATCTTCTAATGAACCCATAATACTTTGTAATAGAAAACGGATTGTCCAACTTGGAGACACTGTACCTATGAAGCTAGTCGTGGAAAACTTTGGGTTCAGTGATACTTTTGTCGTGCGTGTTGAGATCTACAACATGCTAACTTTTTGAAAAAAAAATAGCCAAAAAATATTCTACATAAAATGTCTATGGTTTCTTTGATGGATGGTCAAGTTTTTTCAGGATTTCATGGGTTTCCGCTTGTCGGAGTTCTTACAATTGGCTGCATGATTGAGTGGCTGGAATATCAGCTTTTTACCATCCCACCTTCTCACTTTCAGTGGGTTCCCAATAAACATGTCAAGTTATAATTACGCTAATTCGATCACAAAATAGGTTAAAAAGGTTGCATGAACAATTTAGAAAGGTTATATTTACTTCTCAGCATTTGCCTGTCTGTTAAACTGAGAGACAAAATCAAAGTCTGACCTAAATTTAACAATAAAGGAAAAATACCTTGTCCCTCTTGTTTATATTGGTAACCTATTAAACCGGTCCCACACGATGTGGAGAATTCCTTACAACGTTGGACACATGGCCATTCGCCACATCGTGTGGGAGAGCGCTGACGGATTTCATGTTTCCAACGTTCGCCACATGGCACGTTAGGGCCATGTCGGTAAATTTGACCCGCGTCAAAGGACGTTACAACGTTGGAAGCATGGTTCGTTTCGCTCCCACATGAGATGTCATGTATTTGACGGTTTTAGGTTAGAGCCAGTAGCAGCGAAAAACATTATTTACTTGTTTGCTCTGATTGTGGTGAAGTAGTGGTATGTGGAGAGTACTTTGATATGAATACCTACCTATTGATAAAGAATTAAATTAGTATACATACACAGCATTGGCTGTCATAACAACATTTTTTTCATATTACTAATATTTTGTACATTTCGCAGGTGAGTTATGGCTGGCCTAAGGATATGTATTTCAGTAAATTATAAATATCAAGTGCTTAGAGTTGTTCCATCATAATAATAATAAAACGATTAAATAAATGATAACTCTGAAAGTACTATCAGGATTTTGATGAAATTTTGACCTTAGGTTACTACTATGAAAACGACGAAAAAGCTCTGCAGTTTTTGAACATCGATACAGTGGCGGCGGAATATCGTCTAAAAACAAACAAAAAAACGGTCAGACTTCGTTTTCCGACATTTCTGAGACTTCTGGCAGATTTAAGTTTTGGTCGCTGAAGACAGATCTGAAATTATTTTTCGGCGCTCGAAAAAATTGTTCCTGCAATCATTGTGTATAATTTTTCCTTCAGTTGTAAAGGTTCAAGCGCGACACTGACACTGATAATAGACGTTGGCGTCACCAAGCATCGAACATTCGAGACTAGAAAGTTCATCCCATCGTGTAGGAGACACCTTGCCAATTGTGGGGTGTGGAAGCATCGTGTGGGACCAGCATTAGTCAAAAACAAGATTAGCTGGTGACGCGCATGCCTAGAGCCAGGTATTTTAAAAAATGGCTTCCGTTTCTGGTAGTGATTCTAACAGAATGATTTCGAAATTGGATTTTATGAACGAAAAATGTATGCGCAGTAAATTTTTTAACCAAATGTGACCTCAATAGTTACCCACGAGCCTTAGAAATAAGCGAAATTAACGAATTAACAGTTTTAAAGAGAGAATCTTATAACAACATAGCCTCAAATTATAAGAACGCTTTGTTTTATGGGACGAAGTTGTTAACTTTATGCAAAATAATGTGTTTCTGGGTGACTTAGGTATTTTTGTAAAGGGTAACAAAATCTGTAAACAATTAGTTAATGTTCGTATTTTAATATTAAAAAAGGGATCATTACCTCTTTTTAAATTACTATCGTTGCCTAATCTAAAGAGAGAGTATTATACTGCGTGGTTTTTTAAAATCCCGTATTCAGCTGGTTCCAAAGAAAAAAGTATAGGTTCTGAAACGTGTCATAGAGAAGAAAAGATCACTTCAAAATTACGTTATGTACTACTCAGTCCGAATGTTGAGCTCATGCCCTCTTAAAAATATCGTGACGACTGGGTCTCTTTTGAAAACCCGGTTATATTGTGAGACATGCTTATAAACCTTAGATCTCTTCTGGTTTAAATTTTCAGAAAGTTCGTGGAAGAACAGATTCTTTCTTCAAAGTTAGTGTCAATGTCGAAGTCTAGACGAATATTTACTAAAAGCGTGAGTACAATGGAGATATTTAGCAAGTGCAGTAGTAGTGACTTGTTTTTTACCAATCTGTGTTGCAAACTTACAAGGAATTTTCATTGGTCATTAATGAGATAATTTTTACTTATCAATATGCACAAAAAGGACTCAGCATTGAGGAGATATTTTAGATTAATATTAGGTAAGCTATAACCTCTAGATTTGTCTTCGTCTTTCTCAGAGGTGTGCTTTTTTTTTTTGTTTTGAACCAACCAATCCAACCTCTTGGTCAAAGGTCTATTAGGGTCCTAATTTGGTACATAGTTACAACTTTTTGACAAAGGATCTAACTCTCAAGATAATTGAAGTTTTGAGGACAGCATTCAAGAAGATAGTTACTAAAATTTAACAAATATAGGTAACTTTTTCTTGGGTGGTAGCCCATTTTAACGAAAGGCTAGATGTGTCAATTTTTAAAATAGGATAGCTGATTATAAGCGACTGTGATTCTATTACCTTTCAGGAAAGTGTATCTGCTAACAGTGTTCGAAAGTTCGCTCCACAAGGCGAAAAGTGTAGAAAATCGTTCATGGTTTTATCTGTAGAGGTGGAGTTAGCTGAGTGAGAAAACGTTTAATTTATTGAAAAAAATATAAACGTTCATTTTGCTGAAAATGGATGCACTCACAAGCATATTCGATGAAATTCCAAAAGATGTAGTATATCAAAAGCTATCAGAGAAAGGTAGTAGGATACTTCCGCTTACATAAATTGACCCCCAGAGGAGGACTGGTCCTCAATTTGATGACGCTTTCTTCTTCGTCCTATCGAGTTGGCAAATTGTGAGCATTTCATCATGATGGCGTTAGATTCTCGGTTTGCTAGACATACCCGCCAGGATTTTCTAAGTCTGTATATCGAGAACTGGTCAGTATAACCGCTCCTTCGGTCTTATGATGATAAAGCCATCTTAGCGAAAGGGTTTCTGCTTTGATATAGAAAGCACACCGTTATATTTAACTTGGACATCCTGTGTACTGACGGAGCTTGTAAAGCTGTCCTTCCAACTCTTTCCGGTGGTGGCGCTGCGGTAAGCGGTGATAAATACATCAGGTATTAATCATCGCTTGGGGATCCGGGGCACGAGATAAATCTCTCCATTTCTCTAAAAACACGTCCGTCCGTCGAAAACCGCAGCCGTTCGTGTATAGTCCCAGGAAAGAGCTCGCATTATTTACCAGGTAGTGAAAGGAGTTTTTACAGATGAACCTTCTCATCTGTCGACCGAAAGCATGTCGGCGTC